GTTTGGGTGTTTCCAGCTTCTTTTTAGTTCCTTTTATTTCTAGATTTTTATGATTTAAAAAAACAACTGATCTGCTTTTTTTTCTTATCTGTAACAGGATTGTCATTGGTCAGATTTACATTAAAATAATACAGCACCTTGAACATGTACTTCTCTTCTTTCCTTAATTCTTTCTGTCTGTTGGTCTTGCTTTTTGCAAGCACTCTATAATCATTGTGTGGATGTGCTTGTATTGAAAAAACCCAAAACAACACTCGTAAGTGATCCAGGCAGACCTGCCAATCCCTTGATGATAGTCACAAAGGAGAATGGTTCAATTGTGTTGTCAAAGACATTGGTGCATTTCATAATATTTTGGATACTCTGAAGACAAACTTGGGATTCTTAAATGAAGAGGCCCTGTTCACGTTAAAGATTGTTCTCCATTTAAGATGAAAGAGAAATTCAAGATCACTGTTAATGTCAAAGGCCAGAAGAAAAAAATGTGTGTGTGTATTGTGAATGTATAAATGTATTTTGTATGTCTGCATTTTTCCCCAGGTCCTGGTCTGGCCTTCATTGTGTTCCCGGATGTGGTGACCCGGCTTCCGCTGCCCCCACTGTGGTCCTTCCTCTTCTTTTTCATGTTGATCACGCTGGGCATGGGAAGTGAGGTAAACACAAGTGGTTGTTGGTGCCTGATCTGATGGGGGATTTGAGCCTTACTTGCTTTAACACATTACGCCCTAACTCGCCCGGGATCTCTCGTGAATTTCCCTACGCGCTCCACCCTAACTCGCCCCGAATCGCCTGCTCTGACCAGCAGGGTTGGGTTGATTTAAATCAGTTGATTTTTTAAATTTAAATCAACTTGATTTTTTAAATAAAAATCAGTGATTAAAAGTCACTTTAAAAAATTTTATTTTTATTCGGTTTTTACACCTTTCAACATTCAGAATTCCTTTCCTTGGTTTCATAAAACAGATATAAGGTTCAGTAGACTAATATAATCATGCTTAAAAGTCTGATTTCCCCCCTTTCACTGTAAAATAATACAGTATTCAATTTACTTTTTTTTCCATAA